TAAGTTGTCAAATCTGAGGCCACTTCTCTGTCACCTGCAAATTGGTGCTACAATCTTAAGGAAATCTGTTTTCTGTACCATGGAAAATCCTTGAGAGAGATCTAAGTAAAACTAAGCCTCCCAGATCAACCTTTTTGAACTGGTCCAAACCCCTTAGTCATACTCCCAGGCATTTCTTTCCATTACAAATTAATAAAGGACCTGGATTCCTATCGCTGGTTCTTTAACTGCCCATTCCTACAGCTGGGGAGGTCCCTGGGTGGTACAAATGGTTTGCTCTCAGGTACTAACCTAAAAGTTGACAGTTAAAATACACCCAGAGGCACCCCAGAAGAAAATCATGGTGATCTGCTTCCATCAAGATTGCAGCCAAGAAAACCCTATAGAGTCATTCCGGTCTGTAACACATAGGGTTGCCAGGAGTTGGAATCAACAAACAGGACAGCAATGGGTTGGACTCCTAGCACTGGTTCTTTAACTCCTCATTCCTATATCTGGGAGGGACAGAGCTCACCTAAACCATACAGAACATTTCTGACCAGGGAAGCTGTATAGTGTGTGTGCTTAAAGTGGGCAAGAGCTAGGTGATGAAGGATGGTGCTGAAGGCCAGGTCCATGAAGGATGCAGATCTTCTGGGTCAAGTATCTGTGCACAGTATGGTTATCTACAGTCACAAAAGAAAGGATGAGATTGCATAGGAACGATCTAAGATAAAGCTTTGACTGGGCTTAAATAGGCTATGTTTGGTTAAGCCAGAAGCCTTGAACCTATGGATTTGGTCAAATGAAATTTGTCAAGGATAAGGCAATTGGAGGTAGGTGTTCAGCCAGTGGCTGGATGGAATTAGTGGGTATGAGGAGCTTTCCTTTCAATGATTATTACCTCATAGTCCCAAAATGGCTAACATCGCACTTAGCAACAGCATCATGACCACATTAAAGGAAAGATACTAAAGAAAGGGCAAAGGGCAGCATTTCATGTCCATCTTTATCAGAAAAGAAAAAAAATTCCTGGAAGACCCACATAATAGACTATCACTTACATCTCATTGGCCAAAACTGAGGCCATAGACCAAAGACATAAGGACAACCAAAGACCAATCACAGGCTAAGGAAAGATGAGATTACTTCATTTCTTAAGGAAAATAAGATTGATTTAGACAGACTTTCTCAATTTTAGCATTATTGACATCTGGGGCCAGAAAATTCTTTGTTATGGGGATTGCAGTGTGCATTGTAGAGTGTTTAGCAGCTTCACTGGCCTCAACTCACTGGATGCCAATAGTGCACGCACACACACAGTAGTGACAGTGAAATATGTCTTCAACCACTGCCAAATGTCTCCTGATGGGGGGAGATCTAAAATCACACCCCAGTTGAAAGCCATTGATTTTGACCAATCACGACTAATTCCCTGAAAGTAAAGTAAGGAATATATTCCCTAAAATAAGGGATTAACTGCTATTTAAAAGAATTAGGGTTCTGTTAGCAGGAAAGTGGGGGATGGCCAATAGATATTGGATAATCAAGGGTCTTTTTTGTGCTACGGAATGTTAGCCAACTCTGATCAGCAGCAGATGAGTGAGCATTTCCAGCTGTGCTCCTCATGCCAATGCATAGACATCACATAGAACCAGGAGGCCAGTTTATATACTCAAGATTTATAGTCTTTATCAAGGCGTCATTGGCTTCTATGAAGCAACACTATGAGGTAATTATCTTTGAGAGGAAAGCTCCTCACACCCACTAATTCCATATGAGTGGTAACTGTAGTAGATTTTAATTTCATTAGTAACTTTGTTCTTGGTTAAGCCACAGAAAGACAGGTGATCTCTCCCACAGGCCCCTTGCCTGTCCACATGCATTAACCAGTACAGAAAAGGCTGTGTATCTGCAGGGCCTATCAGTGGGGAAGCTGATAGCCTGAAGCACCTCCAGAAGAACGCTAAACTTACTCTTGATGTTCCAGATGGGGTTCAGGAAGCCATACAGGGTGCAGCAGGTTATACTGCAGTCAGTGCAGAAGAAAAGAAAAACACCAAACTTGCTAGTAGGGAAAGAGAGAGCTCGCTCCTCAATCCCAGTAATTCTGCTTTGTAAGCGACTGGATGTCTCCATATTTAATGGGGAATTGTGTGCCATATTAAAAAGCCACACATGAAAGCATTTATCACTTCCCCAGAAATACCACCACCTTACCCCTCCAATACCTATTCTGCTACTAATGATAAATAAGGATTTTGAGACTTAGGAAATAAATAGATGGTAGAACTAATTAGGCAATGTTTTTCTGGCTCATGATCGTCAAGAATATTCAATCAGCCTTGAGACATCAGAGGGGCAGCACTCACACAGAGGGAAAGCTGGACAGACAAGAGTGCATAGATAAGAAGGACATTAGGCATGACCATGTATAGAGTTGGCAGACAATGTTTCTACAAGTGTATTTGTATGTTCTGTAAGAATGTCCAGGTATATAGTAGAGCTGATAAGGGACAAGGTTGTAGTCACTTCATGGCCAAGGCCAGCTACCCAGAGGGAGCGAGTAGTTGGACCTGTGGGCTCGGGACCATGGTTGCAGGGGACATCAAACTCAATTGGCATAACACTACACAAAAGCATTGTTCTACATCCTACATTGGAGAGTAGCAACTAGGATCTTAAAAGTTTGCAAGCAGGCATCTAGATGTAACGATGGGTCTCTCCTCATCCAGAACAAAGAAGAATGGAGAAAACCAAAGACACATGGAAACAATTAGTCCAAGGGACTGGTACACCATGCCACCCTAAGCCTATATGACTATGAGACCAGAAGAACTAGATGGTGCTCAGCTACCACTCTCAACCACTCAGAGGGGCATCTATGTAGGAGATCCTGGGTAAAGTGGGAAAACACTGTGGAACAAAACTCAAAATCATTTGGGAAAAAAAAAAAAGGACTGGATTTGCTGGTCTGATAGAACCTGCTGGAACCACTGAGACTATGGCCCCTTGCTGCCCTTCAGGTCTGGAACTGAACCCACACCTGTGGCTTCCAGCCAAACAAAAGACAGATATATGAGTCGAACATTTACATTAGGTAGATACACTCCTTGGAGAGATCAATCATGGGAGAATAGAAGGGCTGTGTTTGCACAGGGAGACAGCTCATGGGGCAGGAGTAAATGGGAGGGAAGACACAGGGAAGAGGTAACTATCAGGAGGAAGTAGGAAGAGAGCTGTTGCGTTGTGGGAAATTACAGTCAATGTCATGAGACAAAGTGTATGTGAAATGCTTTATGGAAAATGAATTTGCTCTGTAAACGTTCACTCAAATCACAATAAAAATTTAAAAAGAAGAAGAAGAAGGGCACTGGGAGGGGGTAGTCACAGGGAGGAAGGAGAGAGGAGGAGAGTTTTTTATGGTTGGGGATGGTAACCAGGCTGTGAAATCAAATGTGCATGAACTTTTGAGTGTGAAACAATTTTGCTTTGTAAATTTTCACCCAAAGCATAATAAAAAAGAAAAAAGGAAACAATACTCAAGTAAATTGTGATGCCATCACCATTGCATGTAACTGAAGTAGCCTGTTTGGCAAATATTTGGAAAAGCAAACCGTCAAAGAAATCATTGTTTTTTCTTTCCCTCTTTCTTCCTGAAGAAGACCTCTGTAAAGACATTAAATAGAACTTTGTTAACCATGTTTACCAACAGTCTCGAAAATGGTACAGGACCAAGCAATATTTTATTCTATTACACATAAGATTGCCATGACTCAGAGTCAACTGGATGGCAACTGATGACAACAACAAACATCATGGAACACAAAAGACTAGGATCCAGAAGGTGGGCATGCTGGCCCATGCTAACTACGCCAAGAATAATAGTACCACTGATTTCATGGTCTATTTTCTGATGTGCAATAGAAAGTCCAGCTGTCCCCTAATCTCTGCTTTGGGGGATACCACTGGGTGGCAGGTAAGGAGATCCTCTCCTAAAATGCAGCTAAACTGAGAGAAAGTCTCAAATATGTCATTGATTGACAGCTGTAGCAGCTTAGCATGATGTCACTTGGCAGAAAATGCCTGCGATTCAGAGAATTACATGGTATGGCTCTTCTAGCCATGGTCTTTGTGGCCCACGCCAAATGGACTGAGTGGAACTATGCAAATGTAAGGTGTTTGGGGCCCACCAAGGGGATTGGATAGCTTGTTAGTAATGTAAATAGGGTATATGGTGCCCTTGTGGGACCGTGCAAATAAGGTGTATGGAACCCTAATGTGAGGACTGGTCAGTTTTGTCATCCTGCTAGGCTTAAAATGAGCCCTGGCAGAAGTAGAAAAGGGAAATGTCACTACCATCAAGATAGACAGCAGCCGGGAGTGGAGCACATTCTGACCCAAGATCTTTGCATTGAGATGGCAGAGAGACGACAGCAGCAGAACTGGCAAGAGACAGAGTGGAGGGCTTACT